GTTAAAAATTTTTAACATTTTTTAATGGTGGTGTGCCTCGTGATTTTTTTCATGAAAAAAGTGTGCCTTTGCACAAAAAAGGTTGAAAAACACTGCCATAAAGTATCACCAGTTCAATACTGAACCAGTTCATAAAAGCAAGGGCTTCTATGCCTATTCCAGCTGACTCACCATGAACGGATCCTCAGTTTGCAAAACTATTAGAACTAGAGCAGAATGCAAAATTTAGCAAGGTTTTAACCCCAACCACCAAATGGAGAAAAAGTTCATCCATTTTTCATTTTAAAAATCAGTCCCTGGAATTGGCCTAGATATTCAAATGGTGCATATTTTTCCAACCCACTGTGGAAATTATTAAAAGCAGAAAATATTTATCTCCATTAATCCCGTGGCATCATCCTGCTCACGTTACTCTGTCATGGGAATTTCCCTGCCAACATCCTCCTAGCCCCTCGTGCCATGCATGCTACCTTTTCAGAGGGATTCTGGTGCTCCTATCAAACGGTTACCTGGCAGACAGAACTGTTTATTCTTCAAATCCTACCAGTTGGAGGGAGGGGAGGGTGGCATCTTAAGATACCCAGGTGCAGAATGTGGGCCTTGTGTGTTCATAGCTAGGCTGAGACTGGGCACCAGAAACGTAGATAGTCGTAGTTGTTCAGGTGGGTTGTAGGTTACCAAGAGATCAGAAAACACGAGCCTTGACCTCCAGTTGGGTTTCTGCCCAATTGTGCCGCCTGTGCTTGACTGGGGAGACCTTGCTCGCTGTGTGTGGTTGTGTCAAGTGCTGGGCAAGCAGGTAAAGCCAGCAGAGGCCAAGGCTGCGACGGGGGAAGGCAGGGATTGTTACACTGTCGGCCATTCAAAGGAGGCCAGCCGGGGTTTGTGCTGCGCAGGGCAGGAGGGGGAGAAAAGCCGCTTGGGACGAGGGACAAAGCGAGGCCAGGCAGAGCCGGGGATCCACCTAAGGGATCCCATGTGATCGCCGAGGGATCTCTCCCCGCCGACCGGCTTTGGGATCGCAGCCCCCGAGAGACGCGCGGCAGAAGCGGGCATGGGGCTCCGCTCCCTTCTCCCCGCTGACCTCCGCTCCCGTCTCCGGCCGGCCGCCGCCTCCTCCTCCCGCAGCCGCGCACAGGCCAAGTGGGGCTGGGGGAGGTTTCGAGGCCTAGCCTGGCGCTCCCCTCGCTCCCTCCGCCGCGCCCGCCCAGCGCTTCTCCTCCCCGGCCCACTTGGCCCCGCCGCCCGCCCGCTTC